TCCGCAGCGGGCCGGGCCGGGGCCCGCAGGCCGAGGCGCAGCTGAATGCACGGGAGGAGAAACAGGTCATAGTTGGCGGCGTGGGCAGTGGCGAGCGACTGGATCGCGATGCCTGAGCTGAGCCTTATATGGCGGCCCCGGGGCCCGAGGAGGGAGCTCACGGCCCAGGCGTTTACGAGCTTGGAGGGCTCGGCCTCGCGCCTCGTGGAGCCGGGAATCAAAGCGGGCCCGGTCGCCCCGCCACCCCCCATAAAACGGCGTTCACCTCCCGCCCGCGCTTTATGGGGCCTGGAATGCCTAGTCAGCTCAGCCGGCGGTGCGCCGCACATCGGGGGCGGAACCCCGGCAGTCCTCTGCCGGGACTCCGCAGTAGAGCTCTTTATTGGCGCTATCCATAGGCGAGGCGACTGGGCACACAGGGTCCCCAGGCACATCCCTTTCCTGCAGTCTGGAAAGCCAAGACCTCTGTGGCCTGTGCACCACTGCATGGTCTAGGGGGACCAGTGTGTGTGCGCCCGTTGAGGAGGGCTCTCTGAAGTCAGTCCTTCAGGTTCATGCCCTCGCCTTGGACAAGTGAATAATCTGTGATCAGATAATTGCCCAGAGAGCAAGAGCTCCACGAAGGTTTATCTATCTGTTCTCCTTACTCTATATTACTGATTTGCAATTCGGTCTGTGGCATCTGGCAAAAGCTTTCTCTACTGTTTCTCAGAACTCAATTCATATCCCATCTCCAAGTAAGTGTGTCTTCTTGACCCCCTGGGATGGCCCTTCCACCCTGCCGCCCTGCCTGGGGAGGAGAAAGGAGCCGTGTAGCTGTGTAGCTGTGTGTCTAGCATTGCTTAGGGCTTGCTAATGTATTATTTCATCTAACTCCCAGGGCATTCTTCCAAGGTCATTATTGTGCCCATTTACCTGATCAAGAAGGTGAGCCCAGACAGGTCTAGCCACTTGTTCAAGGTCATACATAGAAGGCTCCATAAAGGGTGGAGGAAACTCTGAAAGGAGGCCCAGCCGTGGTGGCAGAGGTGCTACAACACTGCAATACTGGAAGCCATATGGGAAATCCAGGTTCAGCTCCCTGGGTTGATGGTACTCACCAGGTACTCATGATTCTGGCTGGCTGAGGGACTGTGGGTGGGTGTGGGGGGATCACTGTGTGAGACCCTGTTGAAAATGCTTGTCTCCTCTCTCTCTCTCTCTCTCTCCCACTCTCCTCATCTCTATCGCTCATGAAAGAAAGAATCTTTAAAAATAACTAAAGGGAGACTTGCTAGCCTTTGTTCCATGCTGTTTCTCAGGGTCTGAGCCTTTTGGGAGTGAGTGAAGGCTGAATTCCTCTTGGAATTTCCTGGAGACAGCTAGACACTCTAAATCCTCAACTGATGCTATGTCATGGCCAAGTGATGCTAGGCCATGGTCACTGACTCTAGAAGGTAACCCATTATAAAGGAGATTAATGATGTGCCCAATTACTGGCAGAGGAAACCAGAGTGTGCACTCAGCAGCCAGCATAAAAGAGAACATGCAAATCACCCTTGGCTTCCTTTGCTTTGAAATTTGTGTTACTATTGTGCAAATGACAATTATGTAGTGGAACTCCAGAGGCCATCAGGGCCAGCCCTGGCTTTGGGCTGCCTGGCATCTCATTTCCAGGGAGTGCCCCATTGTCTCCTTTGCTGTCTTTTCCACACTCCCCGGCTGGATCCCTTTGGTCCAGTCTGGGTCTGTTTTGCAAAAAACGACCTTAGTTCTGCCCTCTGTAGGAGGTGGAGGCCAACTCCACAGGGTCCTATGTCCCCACCCCAGCTTGAGCTGGTCGTCAGCTCCGTGACTAGGGCTTCGTTTCAGGATGGTGTATTTCTACTCCACATTTTTTCAGGAATAGCCTGGAAGGATCTTCCCTTGATGTCTCCCCTACAAGAAAAAGCCATCTTGTCCTGAAGCATGGAGGATATAGGTTAGATTTAGGGAGGCATTTAAATGATTCTTGCTGGGTTTTGGAGGGTGGAGGAAATAGATTTTTCTGTGCTATCACAGACAATGCAGATGTTAATAATTGGCTTTTGTCCACACAGATAGTTAAGTGCATTAACAATGCAGAGAGATGGGAGAGCCCCAGGCTGAGTTGTGTCTGCTAAGAACACAACCTGAAGGGATGGAATTGAAAGGTTTGACATCTAGATGACAGTGGTGGTTCCCCCTCCCCCCAAATATTGACTAATCCTTGACCCAGCCTCAGGGACTAATCCTTGACCCAGCCTCAGGGACACATACTCTCTGGTGGTTTCTTTATTATTCTTGGAACTCAAGGGAGAGAAACTGGCTGAAGTATGAGAAATTTCAGAAACAATCAAGGACAGACTTCTCCACCGAGGAGGTTGGCAGTTACAGATGCTGGAAAAGAGGTGGCCTTTTCTGTTCTCAGTTGGATTTTCTAGAACTCATTCCCCTGTCCCTTTAATCTCTAATATACCAGTCTATCTATGAAAAGCTAATGTTTTGTTATCATATTTCTTCTTTACCTCACAGTGCATCCCAGGTGTCAATTCAAGGCTGGGAGCAAACATCACTGAGCACCCACCAGGCATCAGGCTTAGAGGGTGGAGGAGGAGACTGCAGTCCCAGTTCCAGCAGGCATGTGCTCAGAAGATCTAAATACAAAGCTACAGGGAGAATACCTTCCTGCCCAGGGCTTGGCCAGAGAGAGAGAGCCTGCAGAATAGGGACTTGAGGCCAGAGAAAGGGCAGAGTTCTTAGAGATGACATTTTGGTTGGACCTGTGAAACCAAACTATAAAGAAAATGAGGAATTAGAAGTGCCAGATGAGAGTGGAAGGACATCCAGGCAGAGAGAATGGTGTAAACAAAGACACAAAGCTAGGAGCCAAAGCAAATGGGGAGCAGTTGACTTGGGGTGAAAAGTGGGATGGATGAAGGTTGGGAGGAAGTGGCTAAGGTCAGATGATAGTCATGTTGGGTGGATGGGCCAACTTAGAACTCAAGATGATCACTGGAAGTGCTTGACCGGGGGAGCACTATGCTCAGAGGTGCAGATGGCATAGTGGTTAAGGTGCTGAACTCCCACATGGTCAACCGTGGTTTGAGTCCTGGACCTGGTAGCTTGAAACTCATGCCAGGCATGTGTGCATGCATGCCCAAAATTCTAAGAGGAGAATGGAGGAGAAGGGACTGTGGCATAATCATCTCCCCTAGGAAGTGGTTTCTCACTTTCTCTTTCTCTGTGTCTCTGGCAAGCATATGCGCCCTATAACAAAAATCTGTCACAAAACACACACACACACACACACACACACACACACACAGAGTTAAGCGCTGTGAATGCACCTGTATTCACAGCTACTTAGAAGGCTGAGGCTGGAGGATCATGAGTTTGAGGACAGCCTGGGCAACCTAGAGAGACCCTGTCTCTAGAAACATATGTACACACACACACACACACACACACACACCCACACACATACACGAATACCACACACTACCACATAGGCATATTGTAGTGAAAATCCTGGCTACCTAAGATTGGGGGGAAAGGAATTTAAAGGAACCAAAATGAATTAATTAAAAGGGACATAAAGGAACCAAAATAAGAAAATAAATAAATAAATAAGGACACATTACATAAAGGAGAACAATAAGTATTACCATTCTGACTCATTGTTAGAAGCCACAGAAGCCAGATAATAGCAAACTGAGAATTCTATAGCAAGTCAGATTATCCTTCAAACCAAGGGTGATATAAAGACATTTCCAGAGAATAAAAGTGGAGCAAATATAACTTGCGCTACAAAGGACTGATAATAACAATTCTTCCAATGATACCAGATGGAATCTGAAATCTATCTGGAGGAAAGGAGAGGACTAGAAATAGTAAATCAGGGAGAAAACATAAAAGACTATTTCGTGTGTGTGTGCATGTGTGTGTAATTCTCCTTATAAGTCAACTGGCTATTTAGAGCAAAAATAATAACACTATTTATAATGTATGTAGAAATAAAAGATAGGAGAACAATTGCACAAATGATAGAGAGGTACTGATGTGAAGTGTAAAATGTAAATTGAGCAGTGTGAAATAGCATAATGTGAACTCTAAATAGACTTTGGTAGGTTAAGAATGCATGTTACTAGCTCTAGAGTGATTACTAAATATAAAACAAAATAAAGTATTGCTAGAAAGCCAGTCAATAAAACATTGTGTGTGTGTGTGTGTGTGTGTGTGTGTGTATGTTTCTGTTTATTACATGGGTAAGAGACAGAGACAGAGCTACAACATCCCTAATAGAGTCTTGATGTTGTGATACAACCGCTGGTTCAGTCAGCCTGGATCATGGGTGCACGTGTGTCCAGTGTGCTCAGGGATATCTCCGAGTGTGAACCAATCACCTTTCTATATGGGTTGGCCTTGCAGAGCTATGCGTTTTACCATTGCACCACTGTCTGGCCCCAATACAAATCAATATTAAAAAATATTTTACTTAAAAGAAGGCAGAAAAATAACAATAGAGAATGATGACAACAAAAACAGCAAAATGAAACAGTGGGGACAATGAGAAGTAAAGAATAGGATGATTGACTTAAACTCGGTCATATCATTGATTATTTTAGATGCACATGTAAAGAAGTTTTATTCGTCAATAATGAGAAAAACAACTCAATTAAAATGGGCAAAAGAGGGGCCAGGTGGTAGCAGCACTTTAATGCAACTAGACCCACATAAGAAAGGTTCTAGGTTCATGTCTGGAACATACCTTGGCACACTGGGAACAAGCATGTGTCCATGATCCAGGCCAATGGTGCTGTGGTGGATCACAGCATGAAGACTCTTTCAGGGAGAGGGGTCTCTCTCTCTCAAGAAATAAATAAACTGAAAAAAGAATGGACAAAGGACCAATAGATAGAGTAATGGTTGCATTACTGGGCTCCCACATAATCAACTGTGACTTGAATCCCACACCCCGTGGCTTAAAACTCAGGCCAGGTGCATGTGTATATGTGCCCAAGATCCTGAGAGGAGAATGAAGGAGAAGGGATTGCAGCATGGCTGTTCCCCTGGGGGGTGTTTCTTGCATTCTGTCTCTCTATTTCTATGTCTCTGGTGAGCGTACACGCCCTATAGTAAAAATTTTTCTCTTAAAAAAAAAGTAAAAAAAAGAATGGACAAGACTTGGATTGACACACAAGGAACTATATTAGGGGCCAACAAATACATGTGACGTTACTCATCATTATTACTCATCAGAGAAATCCAAATTAAAACCACAGAGAAAAATACTTAACATCCACTGCATGACTGTTATATCGATGGCCTTGGACTGACCAGTTCTTCCCTCTTTTTTACTTGTAGTTCTGAGAAAAACTGTAGGTTGTGTTGGGAATGTAATGCCTGGAACTAGGGAGAGACTAGCTGGAACCAGTCAGACCAGGATCTGTGCCAGTCCTCTCTTAGAAACAGGATGTCCTTTAGTACTTAAGCCCAACATGTCATTTTGTCCTAGAGCAGGCTGACATTCAGGGTCCTCTGCCTATGGTACAAGTGGAATATGTGTATTCGAGATTCCATTTGCCCTGGGCAGTTTTCTAAGCCTTGAAGGACCAGCTCACAAGGAATTCTAGTCTTTTTTTGTCCCTAGCTGTCTACATGTAAGTTAAAAATTCACTCATTGCGTAAGAGTGTGTTCTATCTCATCACACTCAGGCAAGTGGGTAACCAGTGCATAGTGAACCTACTTCATGGCCAGCAGAAGGCTGAAATTTAAAAAATTGACAATGTCAAGTGTAACTCAGCTAAAGCTTTCATAAAGTGCAAGTTATAGCTATCTTGGAAAACAGTTTGGCAATTTCTTTCTTTCTTTTTTTAAATAATTATTTATTTATTTAATTCCATGTGTTATTATTATTATGACTATATAAAATTTGACCAGAGAGAGACAGAGAGAGAGAGAGAGAGAAATGGAAAGGGAGAAAGCACGCTGCTAGGTCTGGGACTCAAACTGCAGTTGGTCAGGTAGGAATCCAGAGCTTTTAAACACCTTGCCACCTGCCGGTCCCCAACAATTTCTTTTAAAGTTAAGCATGGAACTATCAAATGACACCACAAAATCTTGGGTATTTTCCCCCTCCCAAAACAAAACAAAACAGGTGTGCACAGAGACTTGTACGTGAGTTTCAAAGGAGCTTTATTCACAAGAGCCCCAAACTCCAAACAACTTAGATGTTTATCAGGAGATGAATCAATAAACAAACTGAGATATAGCTGTACAATGGAATACCACTTAGCAATAAATAAGGATGAACTAATGATTTGTGAAACCACAAAGATGACTTTCAAAAGTATTATACTAAGTGGGAAAAAAAAGTGAAATGCCAAAGAACATATACCGTATGCTTCTGTTTGTCTGAAGTTCTAGAACTAGCAATACTAATCTATTGTGATAGAAATTAGATCAGTGATTGCTTGGAGTATGTGGAGATGGCAAAGGGCTATAAAGAAACTTTCTAAGATAATGTAAATGTTCTATATTTTCATTCAGTGCTGGCTAAGTTGGGGCATATATCTGTCAAAATGTGTTAAGCTGTATTCTTTACATGTGTGCATTTTATGTATGTATATTACATCTCAATAAAGTTGGCAAAATAATGGTTAAAAGTCCATAGGATATTTAGAACTAAATCTACTAAGTATATGAAAAACCTATATCCCGGGAAATATAAACATTTTACAAAATGCTATAGAAAATGATGATAATAAAAAAGACCTATATCCAGAGAAATAGCAACATTATATGAAATGTCATAGAAAATAAAAGATAATAAGGAAGCTCCACTAATACAAAGATGTACTATGTTCATAGATAGGAAACTTTACTAATATAAAGATATTAATTCTTCTTAAATTGATCTACAGAGTCAATGCAACTATAATCAAATTATCAAGCAAGGATTCACATAAACATTAAAAGTTGATTTTAAAATTTATGGGGAAGAATAAGGGTCAAGAATAGTCAAGGCAACGAAGAAAAAAGAATAAATGGATCTTCTCTCTTTCAGATATTATAACAAAATTGGACAAATTGGGACCATCAGTTAGCGTAATGGCTATGTCACTGGACTCCCATGTAGTTGACCGCAGTTCGAGTCTCGGACTTGGTGGCTTAAAAATCACGCTGGGTGCGTGTGTGTGCGTGCCCAAGATCCCAAGAGGAGAATGGAGAAGGGATTGCAGCATGGCCATCCCCTCTGAGGGTGATTTCTCGCTTTCTGTCTCTCTGTCTCTGTCTTTCTGGCGAGTGCACATGCCCTATACAAAAATCTCTCTCTCAAAAAAAAAAAAAAAGGGCAAATTGACCAATGGAAAAATATTGCCTGTAAATTTATATATGTACACACACATAAACACACACAAAATTTTGATAAATGACAGCATAACTTTAGTTTAACAACACACACACACACATTAAATATATGTATATAACAATGGAGGTGCTATGGCAGATAAGCAGAGAAAGGAGGGTCTATGTATCGGTTATCCACATGAAAAAAAAAATGAAGCTGGATCCCTGTCTTCTGTTTCACACAAAATTAATTCCAAACAGATTGAAACAATGTCAAAAACAAAAGTTTAAAACTTTTAGAAGAAACAATTGGAGAATGTCTTTCTGATCTTGGTATAGGGAAGAATTTTTTCAACAAGGCACATAATACGGTCAACATAAAAGAAAAATTTAGTAAATGAGACTACATTAAAATAGAGGACTTTTCTTTATCAAAACAGGCCATGAAGAAAGTGAAAAGATAAACTGTAAACTTGAAGATAATATTTATAATCCCTATAAGTAACAAAGTAGTTAGGCCTAGAAACACAAAAAACACTTAGAATCACATAAGAAAAAAGCAGACAATCCAATGAAAAACAACAAGCAAAGGAAAAGGAAATACATATAGATAATAAACATTTAAAGAGATATTAAATATCAGTAGTAATCATGAAAATACAAAGCAAAACCAAAAATGAGATTTATTATAGTATTTAATTGCTGAAAATTAAGACACATTGCAGAGGTTTTGAATCTTTTATACATTGCCAACCAATTGTAAATTGTTATTATAACAACTTTGAAAAACAATTTTATATTAACATAGGACGTTGAAAACCTAACCATCCTATGGCCCAGAAATTCTACTCCTAGTTGTATTTAAAAGGACATTTCTCACATACGTGCATAAGGGGACATGTAGGAAAATGTTCGCAGTACCCCTTTGTAAGAAAACAAAACAAAGCAATAATAGAATTACAAGTTGGCAGAGCCACACAACAGAATACTATGAATTCAAGTGGAGGAATCCTAGTTGCATAATGTTGAATTAAAAAAAAATAAGTCCCTGGCCAACTGGTGGTGTGGTGGTAAGGGTGACTATATTCCACCTGGCTGACTGTGTGGTTCAAGTCCTGTACCTGACGGCTTGAAAGACACACAAGTTGCATGTACCTGTGCCCAGTTTCCCAAAAGGAGGGAGAAGTGGAGGAGAGGGGATTGCATTGTAACCGTTCCCCATGGTGGGTGCTTTCTTGATCCCTTCTTCCACACCATCTCTCTGGTGAGTGTGTGGCCTTTCCAGCAAATTAAAAAACAGGCAAATAAATAACAACAACAACAACAGCAGCAAAAACAAGTCCCTGGTTTAAAAACAACATAAATACGCACGACATTGGTGGATGTATTTTTCTTAAAAAAAGAAAAACCTAAAAACTTAAAAAAAATATTTTTAGGTATACATTTTTTATGTATGTGATAAAACAAAAAACAACAAAAAGCAAGAGAATTTGTAACACAATTTCACGGAAGTATTTACCTCTGGGGTGATACATAGGGGACTGAGTGGGGAAGGAGCCTGCGGGTAGCTGTAAGTTACTAGTAATGTTTTAGCTTTTAGGTTGGTAGGTGAGTTCATGGATATTTTCTTTCATTGTATTAAGTTAAAAAATAATATGTAGCTTATAGGAAATAAACCTAATATATAAGAACATAAATTGAAAGTGAAAGAATCTGCTAAGGTGATTGGTTAGAAGATCAGAGTGTGTTACACCTGGTGGGATGAGTAATTTTGCACGAAACAGTTTTGTTGATGTGTATACATATGCATGTAAGTAGCGAGTCAGGATATATTTCTTATTTTGAGTTGCTATTAAAAATAGTTTGACATCTAGTACCCCAAAGAACCTTCTGTTGAAGCATACCAGCAAATATGTACAAAAAAATGTCACAGCAGCAATGTTTGGTAGAACAGAAACCAAAACCATATATACCGTCCACTAAAAGATGGATACATATTCATACAGCACTGAAAAACCAGCAAAGCTACATGCATCAAAACAGGTGACTCTCAGACATAGAATGTTGAAAAGAAAAAGTAAGTAAAAGAAGCAAGCACTGTAATTCTATTTATACTAAGCTTAAATGTAGGCAAAACCAGGGCCAGCAGGTGGTGTGGAGGTTAAAGAAGCTGGATCTCATGTAGCTGAATCTGCAGCTCAAGTCCCGGACCCAGAGCTTGAGAAACGTGATGGGTGTACATGCGTGTGTGCCTAAAATCCTGAGAGAAGAATGGAGGAGAAGGGACTGTGGCATGGCCACCTCCCCCCACCCAGGGGCGGTGTGACTTCTCACTTTCCCTCCTTTTCTCTCTGTCTCTTTCCCATGAGAGTGTATGCAGCCAACAGAAAAAAAAAAAAGCAGGCAAAAAGAAACAATAGTTTTGGCATACACATGCATGATAAAGTCATAAAGAAAAGCAAAGGTATGATTAACATGAAAATTGAGGCTATTGATCACTTTGAGGATCACTGGGATCAGCAAGGGTCTTTGAAGGTACTGATGGATACACAAGGATTTGTCTTATTGTTGTCACTATTTAACTGTGTATGTTATGTATACTGCTTAGCATGTAGGAGACACTTATAAAATAAGGAAAATGGAAGCTTGTGCTCTGCAACCCCTGCTTACTCCTCCAGTTTAGAGTTATCCCTTTACTCCAAGTAAAAGATCCCAAGACTTGGGACTCATTCCTCAACCCTTGTTTCTCACTTTTCTGTCCACCTTCCACCCTACTAGCAGTACTTCCTAAATCATCTCTCACATCAGGCCACTATCCTGCTGATGCACCTCTGTGACTCCCCATTGTCCGTTCTATAAGCCCAAACTCAGCTCCACATATTTCCTCCCACCTGAAATAGCTTGTCCTTACTTCCTTTTCCCTTCAGGGCCCAACCAGCCTGGGAGCTTCCATTTTCCTATCTAGGCTCATAGCATGGTTCTCTTTGTCCTCTGTCTCTGAAGCCTTCTGGTCAGAACTTTGTGATTGTAGCAAGGTGAGGTCATAAAGCTGCCAGGATGGAGAAGCCTAGTCCTCAGAGGCAAGGATTCTGGGGCTTCCTAAGCTAGAGCTGGACTTTGGTGCTCAAGAGGCTTGGAGGAAACGACAGCTCCCTTCATCATGGTGAGATGTGCACATGGGGCTCATGGCCACACAGGGATGAGAGGTCTCAGACTCCCCCCAGATCTGCTTGACCCACCAAGGCACACGCTTGACTGCTGCGTCTACAGCTTTTAGGAAAGGGAGCAGGAAAGGGTGGGCGGTAGGAATTCCACAGAGATTTGTGGGAAATGATATTTTGTAATCTGTTCCCATCCATTCCCCCATATTCCATCTGTCCTAGAAAAAATTTGCACTAGGGGCTGGAGGGTAGTGCAGTACTAAAGCACATCGCTTTTGGGGCTGACTCACACAGGAAGGTTGCCAGTTCGCATCCAGAGACCTCCCTGAGTCTGCTAAGCACACGCCTGCCTATCATCTAGGACTAGCTGAGGCTGGGGCTGGATTGTGGCATCAAGACCTTGTTGGGTGGTGGTGGTGGGACAGCAGGTGGCGTAGTGGTTAAGGTCCTGGACACTCCCACATGGGTGACCATGGTTCTAGTCCCAGACCTAGTGGCTTGCTTTCTCACTCTTTCTCTCTCTCTTTCTCTGTGTCTCTCTCAGTTCAAATTAAAATAAATGAATGAATAAAAAAATTAAAATAAATTATTCTTAAAAAAAATAAGACCCTGTTGGGGATACTATCTCTCTATTTCTCTGTCTCTCTCTATCTTGCTCACTTATAAACTTAAAAAAAAAAAAAGAAAGAAAATCTGCACTGGGTTAGTGTGAACAGCTCCTACTCTCCGTTTCTCTATCCTGTTGGGATTTGGGGTGTGCACACATGCCTGGCATGCTTTTTAAGCTGCTGGAGCTGGGATTTCAACTCATGGTTGGCTATGTGGGATCCAGCTTCCTTAACCACTAGGCCACGGGACTGGCCCTATTTATTTTTTATTAATGCTGTTTGTACTAATTTAGCTGATCAAACATGGTAAGCTACAGTAAATACTTTCCTAGAATTTAACTATTGTTGTCCCTGTGTGCACTCAGTCCAAAAGCTCACTTCAGCAGATCACGGGTCTGTGTGGTTGCCCTTCATGTGACCTTGGGCACCTCCAGGCCTGGTGGAGCATCACCTGTGCCAGCTGAGCACATAGTATTCTCCCAACAGCCCTCGGGAGAGGAAAGGTTATCACCCCCATTTCCCAGGTGTAGAAATGGAGGCCCAGAGAAGGGAGTTGCCCAGGTGGATCGGAGTGTCCTGAACTATCTTGCCCTTGTGTGCTCCCCTCACCTCCCTGACCGCTACCTCTACTCTACTGCCTCCACTCCACAGTGTGAGGAGGTAAAGGTGACTATGCAGAAACACACGAAGAGCCTGGGGCATAGCAAGGAGGACCTGAACCGGCTGAACCAGGCCATCCAGCGGCTTACTGCAGAGGTGGGCAGCACCAAGAGTCAGGTGAGGGGTGGGAGGAGGGGCTGCAGAGGGGCCATGCTGGGACGTGGCCGTTATTTCTGGCAACTAGACTGGACCCCTCCCATCCTTTGGAGTAGATGGATGAAGCTTCTGTTTGTGAATGTGTGAGCAAACAGGAGTGTGGCCACTGGGCGTGTCCTGTGCCCTTTTGCTTAGGACTCCATGACTTTTATGTGGGTAAGTGATTAACATAGTAAATCAGTAAGAATGCATGCACTTGTTAGTATATTATCTTTTTATATGTCTACCTACATTTTGATATCTCTGTGGTTTGTTTTTCTTACCTAGCATTAAATTCGAGTCTGTCTTCAGAAACAGCAAGATTTTTATCTAGGAACCCTGTTTTCTTGGTTCTGTTCAAACCGTGGAGGTCAGGCAATATTGAACTCTGATTCTCACATGGTAACATTAGGCTCGAGTAAGGCCTATCTTCTCCACCTCCATCTCACAGGGCATATGCTCCCTGCTGTGCCGCAGTCCTTGCCACTCGCAATTGCATCTTTAGCACCGAGGCAGAAGGTCCTTTGCCACTTATCATCACCCTTGTGTGCACTGTTGCTGCCCTTGTGGAAGATTAAAAAGGGCTAAACCTACATCTTTAGAAAATGAAAGACTGAAAATGTGACAGAGGTCCTGGTGATCTTAGGAAAATGGGAGAGACTTATTTCTTGTGGAACTGGATGCTGCACACTTAACATTTGGTCTTCACCCTTTCTCTTAACATTTTTGAGAGAGAGAGAGAGAGAGAGGGAGAGACCCCTCAAAGGGGCTTTGTGCCACGATCTACTGCTGGTTTCAGCCAGCCTGGACCATGGCCATGAGTGCACCCTGGCGGGTTAGAAAGGGCCAGGACACGAGCCCAAGACCTCTCCCTGTGGGTCCAGCTGGATTACGGCTGGGCTACCACCTGGCCCTGGTCTTCCCCTTCTCTTTGCTTCTAGCCAGACAGGTGCTCATTAGCACTTGAGTCTGAGATTTAGGTTTTAGCTTAGGAAGGACCTGTGGGTCCTTTCTTTCTCCTGATCTTCTTCCCTCTTGGCCTCCTTTCGCTTTCCTTCTCTGTCAAGTGGCCCCACCCTGCTCCACTCGTGTCCCACCCCACAGAGGGAGTGCTTTGATCACAGCCTTTTCCTGTTTTCTGGGATCAAGTGTCTCAGACTGGGAGGAATATTGAGGGGACTTTAGGGGTCTCCCTTGTCCAGCAACTGACGACTTGGCAGGGGTAAGAGCTGTTGGGTCTGGGGCTGGCAGAGAGAGTGGGTGGGCCATCACAGTTTGGTGTCCCATCAGCCACAACTGCTCTGATTTCCCAAGCAGCAAGCACAGCTCACCGCGGCACGCGTTTATGATTTTCACCCCCAGAGACTACGAACTCTAGTCTATGAGGAAAAGGTATTCTTCCTGTTGTCCTTACGAATAACCCAGCATGCTGTGTGAGGGCGTTAGTGTTATCTCCAGGCACTGGCTCATGTTAGAAGAATTACCACACTAGACGTTCGTAACAGGCTCTCTCTCAGCCTTCCCCGATGGTGGCTCCTACTCTCCATCCTGGGAGCAGAGGACTGGATGAATTAATTTCATCCTGCCATATATACACTGACACAGGCTCACTCCTCACAACCACGGACAATCTCCAATCCCTCGCTGGCTCTCCAGCTTTTGAGAAGACTCTGAATCTTTGGGCGGGGGGATGGGATGGGGACCAAGGCTGTTCTTGTGGCCCTGGCCTTCTCTTTGCCCACAGCCCTGCCAACCAGAGAGAGCTAAGGGCCCATCAGCTCTGCAGGAGGAGGGTTCCTCAGGCAGTGCTAAAGGCAAGCTGGCCTGGCTGGAGGCTGCCCTGCAGCGGGCTGAGCAGGACATGGCGCGGCAGCTGCGCGCATACCAGGAGCTGATGATCATCAAGCTGGGCCTGGACTTTGAGATCGCCACCTACCGCAAGCTGCTGGAGGGCGAAGAGAGCCGGTGAGGGCTGGGGCGTGCTTCAGATGTGGCTGCGGAGTACAGGGGTGCAGGGAGGCCACCCCCCTCATTAGCGGATGGGGAGACATGACCTGGGTACCCAGGGGGTTGTTCTTCTGGAGCCTATTTTTCCCACCATCTTGTAGCACTTTGAACAGACAGACCTAGCTAATGAACACCTTTGGCACCTGGGATGGTGGGATTCCTATAGATCATTTACCCCCAGAACCAGGGAGCAGGGACTAGTTTACTCACGGAGATAGCTGCAGGCACCAAGGCCCAGTCAGTGACTGGCACCAAAGTCCCAGGTGTGAAGTGCCTTCTTCTCAATTCTTTTTTTTTTTTGGAGAGGTATTTGCTATAGGGCGTGAGTGCTCGCCAGACAGACAGAGACAGAGAGACAGAAAGTGAGAAATCACTCCCCCCAGGGGGGATGACCACGCCACAATCCCTTCTCCTCCATTCTCCTCTCGGGATCTTGGGCACGCACACACATGCGCCCAGCGTGAGTTAAGCCACTGGGTCCGGGACTTGAACCCTGATCGACTACATGGGAGTCAAGCGACATAGCCATTACGCAACTGCTGGTCCCCTTTCTTCTCAATTCTGCCCCGAACCTCCAAGCTGGGGAAAGTGGGTTAAACCAACATGGAGGGGCTGGGGTTTAACTGAAGACAGCAGTAGCACAGCAGAGCCACCAACACCAGGGCCGTCAGAGTGAACTGTGTACACCAGGCTGAAGGGAGGGAGAGGGAACCGAACACCCACCTTGCAACAGGCATGCTGATTTTCTTCTCAAAGCCCCACAAACCTTGTGAGGAGGAAGCCAAGGCTCAGAAAGGGTACAGCGCCACCTCAAGGACACATAGCTAGAAAGTGGGCAGAACTCCAATGATAGCCTTCAGATAATTATCTCCTTTAAAAGTTTAAAATACCCTCTTACAGTCTTACATTTCAAGATGAGCTTGGGACAAATCAAGCATAAGTGTTTTGCCTTCTCCCTCTTCCAAAAACTCATCTGCAGAAGTGAGTTATATGAATTTAAGGCAAGAGGGATTGAGTTTAAAGTCCCGAGGGAGTTTTGACTCGGGCCTGTGAGGATGGGAGAGAACCAAGAAGCCTGCAGGGTGGGAGGACTTCTGTTGTCTGGGAGGTCAGGGGTTGCTGTGGGGAATGGAGAATATTAAACCTAGCAGATGGGTATGCTCACCTGTTTCCTCCTTCTCCCCGCAGGCTTGGTCTGGGCTCTGGCGCAGGGAGCGTCAGTAAGTACATAGCAGGCCTAATTGGGTGGGAGGGGTCAGCTGTACCCTTTTCTGCCTATCCACATCTCTGCGTGCATCCTTTGAAAAAGGAAGAGGGGGTGTGTCTCCACCCTTTGCACCTGTGCCCTCTGTGTACTTTCCTTTTGCGAGGGGCTGTTTTTTTCTCTTGGTGGTGATTCTTTGCATGTGTTTGCGGGAGGGGTCCTGTTCTGGGGGGCGAGAGTCTGTGTATCTGTATTTTTGATGGGCTGTGGTTTGGCATCTATCTCATGGTGGGGAAGAGGGTCTGAGTACTGGACTGGAGAAGCCTGTATGTCCGTCAGCTGGGGCGGGACAGGTTTGGAGGGTTGCAGGGCTCAACGCGTTCTGACACTGCTCTCCGCACAGCCCTGGGCAGCGCTGCGTCTGGCCCATCTGTCTCTACCTCTGGCCCGGTCTGCCCGCTCCTCCCTGGAACCGTCTCTGGCGCCCTGGAAACCAGCGCCCCTGCCGGCGGTTGTGCACTCTGCAGTTTCCCTGGCTGTGTTGGTCACAGCAGCAGCGACAGTGACTCCCGCGGATGTTGAAACCTTCCCACTCTGCTCCCGAAAGCCAAAAAACCCCAGCTTCTTCCCTCTTACCTCAGACACCTGCTCCCTTGGGGCTGGCCCTCACCTCACCTCACCTCTCCTTTTTGGTCCCCACCTTGGAGTGTAAGGTCTTGGAGCTTAGTTTACAGAACCTTGGCAGACTGTCCCCAGTGCAGACGACTTAGATGCTGGTGCTATTGGCAGGATGGCCTGTGGCTTACTGGGACCCAGAAATTTGCCCCTTGGAACTGCCCTACAGAATCTCCCTCCAGAAACTCCTCCTTTGCAATAAAAAGTTCTGCAGTGGTCTAAGCTGCCAGGCTGTCTGAAACTGGATTCCCCAGGCTCCTTCCAAGGCAAAGACAAAGTTGGCTTGGTTGAGGGGTGGAAGGAGGTGGAGGGATGGAAGGGACATGGGTATGGACTGTCCCAGGAAACAATCCTCCCCTGTGGAGTAGTGGTCCATGTGACAAGTGTATGGTGACTTGATACTATAGAGCCAGGATCTTTAGGATTGGGTGAAGGGGAGTGGGTAGGAAGGAGCTGGGGAAGGGGTTAATTCACACAGAAGGGTCTAGCTTGTGCCCTACAGTCAGATCTTCTGGGTAGAAGGGCTGAGAACTTCCTTCAGCCATGCTCCAAATACTGAATGGCCTCCAGGGTTCCAATAGTGTTTGTCGGTGGGGACAAGATGGTCAGCAAGATACTCTGGTCCTGGCTCTCTGGAAGTAGTGGTTCAACTACCAGGAAGGGCAGGCTGGCTAGGAAGCAGGAAACAGACCAGAAAGAAAGACAACATAATGTCATGGGGGTCAAGCTAGTGTCATATCTAGGCCTGGCAGGGCACTCTAGGACAACTGTGATAAACATGGTCCTTGAAAATTGGGACTGGTGCGAATGTTCTCAACTGGGCTGGATTGAGGTGTGTGTCACGCTGGGTAAAGTCTCTTTACAATCTAAATGATGTATAGTGATTAAATGGATAAACAATAATTAAATTTAATAAATAAAAAATTATAAAAAACAAAGAAGAAAATTGGGGCCAGAGTTGAACACAATTGGGTGGCCCAGGGATGGGTTCTTGCTTGACAAGTGATCCAATGATGGTCAGGGGAACAACATACTATGGTGGAGGACAGCATGGGCTTTGGATTCATGCGGGCGCTCTGTCTTTGCCTTTATTTCTAGATCTATGGTGCAGCTTGGACTTAGTCTTCACAAGGCAATTGGACTCTGTGGGCAGAAGCGAGACCAATGGGGTTGCAGAGAAAAGCTGGGTTTCTGAGCTCTTTCCTTTTTACACAGGACGGACAGAAGCTGCTGTTCAGTGAGCTCACATTCTTTTCTATTGCACAAAGGATTACCTCATCAATGCATCTGGGCAACAATAGTTCCTGCTTTGTTTTCCTGGGTGGGGCGAAGGTGTGTCATTGGCCAGAGGCTCTGGCTTTACCTTTTAAGGCACTCTAGTGCCAGAGTGTCTGCTGTGTTCTCCTGATCCCTGCCTGAAGAACAGGTATCCAAAATGCCCCTTTCGGAGGTAAACAGAACAGTCTTATGCAAGAGGAAGGGACTGGGACTTGTCTGGCAGGCTGCCTCCCACCTGAGGGGCAGGGGACGTGGCTTCACTGGGTTTGCACATCAGCCTCAGTTGATCAACACTGACCCTCACCAAATGTATAAATGTTCTCACCAACACTCTCAGTGCAAAACAGCTGCCTGAAGTCAGCGCTGCCCCACTGCAAGATCCTTTGGATGAGCTCTGCATTTCTTGCATTTTGCTAGGAGGTAATGAAATTCTATGATTTCCATAGCTGGTTTTCTCCAGCTCCTGCTGCTACAATCATGTCAACAAAGTAACTTGGGAAGTGCCGGCAGAAAGATAGCTGAGGACCACAGGCGGGATTAATGGTGTGCATTCTACAACCTACAGCACTGATGACGAGTTGCCCACATTTTCTCTGTCCAACCCTGAGCTCGGGTGCTTCATGTCAGTCAAGGAGATCCCAAGGGCTTTGAGTCTCTTCCTGGGCCAGGGTCACATTGGTCACCAGCTATGTTTGTGGTTTGGGGACCAATTCTCTGAGAGGCTCCTGTGGTCATGGGCCACATTCCAGCCTGGGGTAAGAGAGACCTGCCTGGTGCTTTAATGGAGAGTCATTTACCAGCCCATTTACTAGCTTTGTGAGTTGGGGTGACTTCTGAGGGGAGGAGGGTTGTCACCAGTTCAGTCATTGCTTCTCAGCAGAAGGGGATCATAGGGCCCAGCCCCCTGTTGGTGTCCCCTGCCTGCCTGACTTTTCATAGCACTTAAGCATGTCGGCTGCTAACTTAGTGGCATTCGTCTCTCTAGCTGAGCCCCTCGAGGGCTGTGAGGACTTCATCTATTCCCAGGCCCTGCTGCATAGAGATGTGAATGGGTTGAGGCTCTCTGTGGTCCTTGTGGATCTGTGGTGTCGTGGGGTGTACTGAGTCTTGCTTTCCATCTTACATCTCATCTATGTAACCCCTTGCGGTTCTCCCTCCTCCTATGATTCCAGATGCAAGATATCAACCAGAAAACTGGGAGTGAGGAAGGAAGGGTCTCAGTTCTCTTCCCAGTCTTGCTCTTACCTTGACCAGACTCTTCTCCTATTTCTGGGCCTCAGTCCTGCCCTTTCTCAGAACTAAATGGTGAAGATTCATTATTTTTTCCTATTTCTCTTCCCATTTAAATGATTAGAGTCAAAGTTTACCTGTAAAGCAGAATAATGCCTATCATAGGACTGAGACTAAGAAATATTGCTGTAGGTGGTACCAGCAGATGGCGTAATGGTTATGTCATGTAGTCAATCATGGTTTGAGTACCAGACCCAGTGGCTTAAACTCATGCCAGGCATGTTGTCTGCATGCCCAAAATCCTGAGAGGAGACTGGAGGAGAAGGGATTGCAGTGTGGTCATCCCCTCAGAGGGTGATTTCTTGTTTTCTGCCTGTGTCTGTCTCTGGTGAGCATACGTGCCCTATAGAAAAAGCCTCTTGAAAGAGCTATTGCTGCAGGTAGTGATGGAAACAAAGTAAGAGTTCTGTAAGGGTAATGAACATTTCACTTACTTGAGTTCTTTGGAAGGATGTTGAGGACCTTTACAGAAGGCTCTACAAAGTCTGCTGGCTGACCTCCCTCTGCCCAACCTGGAGCTTGGCGGACAGTAAGGCAGGGGTAGGTGGGAAGCCTAAGGGCAAGAGCTAGAACTCCCTGACCAGAGGCAGGCCTCAGTGTGACAGTAATCTGGGCTTAGCCCGTTTCTCCAGGTGCGACCCTCACCTCACCAGTATCTGTGGGTTCACTCATGTATCCATACTGCATTCACATCCATAGGCACCCACAAATCCCCCTCCTCAGCACATGTACACATGTGTACACATGTTTAATGTATAATCATACTTATAGAAGCCTTCACAGTCTCTCTCTCTCTCTCACACACACATGTCTTCCCACACAGAAGCCTGGAGATGTGAATGGACCTGGATGTCCTCGTACTGTCCCACTCACAAAGAGCTGCCCTTAGACATTGAGCTATGCAGAATGACTACTCAGACAGCATGCGTGTACACAGTTGCATGGAACCTGGACTCCTTGTGTCCTGCTAACTCCTGATCCTGTCCCACCTCTCCTTAAGAGCCACGGAGCTTTATATTGGTAAGGGACCTTAGCAGACATCTGGTCTGCACATTATTTCATCAGTGAATACACTGAGGCCCAGAGAGGAACAGTGACTTGCTATGTGTTCCACAGCGAGACGTTGCATTTTCTTCACCATTTGGCACCAGGACATCATGGGTTTGATTCAATCACTCTGGCTCCTCTGCCTGAGCCTGTTCCCGTGAGGACACTTGGAGGGAGGTGAAGGTTGTGAGCTGGAGTGGAAAAGATGAGGAGATCAGCATTAGAGGGAAGGTGAGAGAATGAAATACAACAAGCAAGCAAGGCCCAGCTGGGCTGGCGAGATCAGGGTGAAGGACAGAGAAGAGTCAGTTGGCAGAGAAGAGACTCCATCAGGACTGGAGTTGCAGTTGACTTCTGAACTGGGAAGGGGTGGTGTGGGGGATGAAGCTGGTGTTTGGACCTCAGTTCTGGACTCTGATGGGTTTGCTTCTGAGCTGTGTGGTGTCACAGTATGGAGAGTGGTTAGAATAACTGCATACTCTGGAACTCCCCAGGGCTCCGTTCTGCTCAGAATTCCACCAGGGGTGGCTGGGAGATCTTACCTTTACCCTTTGATCTTACCCTTACTCTTTGTCCTGTCAGCCTACTTGCTTTTGGTCTCTCAATATTCTTAACTTTTTCTGTTATCCTGAGGGGTCAGGTGGGAACTTCCGTTTCTGCTACATTTCTGGGACTGAGGCCAGAAGTTTAGAGACCCCCACTGAAAATATATGTTCAGGGACTCACTTAGGCCTATGGTGGGCCTGAGCTTCTGCCTCCATGCACTGTGCCCTGACCTCCAACACACACACACACACACACACACACACACACACACACAGATCCTCAGAAGTGTTAGGTGAACACTTCCTTCCATGCATGAAGGTGCTCTAGGGCCCTGGTAGACATGGAGATTTCTCCTTGTACTTGCAATCTCTGCTCATAGCTGTAAGTGTCATAAGAGGCTAGCCACGGCCCAATTCTCTGGAGGGACTTGACTTTACAGTCCAAAAGAGAAAAATATTAATGATAAGTACATACAATGATTTTTTTGTGGCACACACTGTTTAAACAGTGTACGTATATAAAATAAATTCTTAAGAATCACCCTCATTTTAGAGATGTGGAAACAGGCTCTGAGAGTAAGCACCTTGTCCAAGGTCACTCAGTAAGGAAAGAACAGAGTCCAGTTTTGGGCCCAGGGAGTCTGGATCCAACTCTGTGCCACATCATCTTCTTGGCATGTGCTGTTTCTGTCTTTGAGTCCACAATGGTAGGTCTCCAGACCTCAAAGGGACTCCATTAAAAAGCAGAAAGCCAACTCAAACTTGAAACTTTAAATCATGGTCATGTATTCATCTCTTAGAGCATTCCAATAAACGACTCTAGCATGACTTCCCCACCAAAGCGATGAGTGATGTTTCCTTTCCTTTGACTGGTGAATGCAATTTTCATTATTCATCAGTTTACAGGTGTGCACCGGAAGTTTTCTGGGAGGCAGCTGTGGTTTAGTGAACTGAGTACTAGAGACACACGCAGAGTTCAAAGCCCAGCTGAATCACTGTGGAAGTGAGGCACTCTGACCCCGGTACTGGGAGTCTGCGCTCTGGTTTTTTCATTTGCAAGATGTACCATTAAGGTTGTATGGATAGAACCACATCTCATGGGGGCCTAGCAAGACCCTTGGCTGGATCTGAGACTGCTGTGAGCCAAGGGATGGAAAATTGCACTGGAGCCCCCAAGCCTGCGCCTTTCTCTGCGCCATTGGACTTTGGGGACTCTTCCAAATCTCGACCCTGAGGAGGTTAACAGACGCAGATAACGTTTAAGGTTGGCTAGGTTGATTTATTGGAAACACAGATCAAGACAGAGATGAGCAGGGCAGAGGAGGGAGAAGAGAGTCTGGGGGCTCTGGCCATTGGTCCCATGGCAGCTCAGGTTCAGGTCCTGGTAGGGGTCCTCCCTGCCCTTGAGCCCCCTTCCTGCAGGCGTCAAGGAGACCTCTTTTGGGGGCAACCTTTCCCTGTGCGGGGCAGCAGAGTCAAGGAGGAGGGGATCACGCAGAAGAAGAGGCTGGAAGTGGGAGGGATCCTTCGAAGCGTAGAAGTAGCTGAACTCTTGTTCTGGGAGCCAGGGATGGGCCGGCTGAGATGCTGGGCCAGAAAGGGCTGGAGATGGAGCACCTAGCATTTCCTGCAGCTGCCGGCGCAGGATCCCACGCCAAAGGAGCTGATGCCACAGGAGCCCACACCAGCTGTGCCCAGGCCGCACGAAGTGACAGAACCGCAGGGTGCGCACATGCCAGTGCTCACTGCCAGGTTCCCACTCTGGGGGGCAAGCCATTGTCCCTCCCTGATGGCTGTCCCTCCCCAAGCCCTGAGCTGTGCCAATTAAAACTTGGGGCTGGCAAGTGGCATGGTGGTTAAGGGCGCCGGACTCCCACATGGCCAACGACGGTTTGAGTCCTGGACCTGGTGGCTTGCTTTCTCACTTTCTCCCTCTCTGGTCAAATTAAAATAAATAAATAAAATTAAAGTAATTCTTAAAACAAAACAAAACAAAAACAAAAACTGAGGGGCATCTTTACTTGACAATTCTTGGTCCCGTAGGTCCCAAAGCTGTGGCCTTTTCCCGTGTGTCCTCAGTTCCTGCTGCTTTTGAGCCCCCTCTTTACATTTTGCTTTCAGCGAAACAAACCCCTCCTAGCAGACTCTGCCCTCCTTCACCGGGTCAGGGTAAATCGATTCACTGGGCCCCAAGTACTCACAGACATTCACAGCCCCAACACCTTCACACAGTCTGAGGACCAAGAAGAAACAGGCAGCGTTAGTACAGGGCTGGATTTACAGACAGAGATCCCCAAGGTTTGAGATGGGGTCCAAGATGGTCAAGGAATTAGAGCAGAGGATATGAGGGAGCACTCTGCCCTCTGCTAAACTCACCCCACCACCCCTAGACAGTGATAGAGGACAGATCCTCCCACCCTCCCAACCCCACCTCCCACTCCAGACACTGGACCATTGCCTAGCCCCAGGCAAAACAGGTGTGCACCGGAAGTTTTCTGGGAGGCAGCTGTGGTTTAGTGAACTGAGTACTAGAGACACACGCAGAGTTCAAAGCCCAGCTGAATCACTGTGGAAGTGAGGCACTCTGACCCCGGTACTGGGAGTCTGCGCTCTGGTTTTTTCATTTGCAAGATGTACCATTAAGGTTGTATGGATAGAACCACATCTCATGGGGGCCTAGCAAGACCCTTGGCTGGATCTGAGACTGCTGTGAGCCAAGGGATGGAAAATTGCACTGGAGCCCCCAAGCCTGCGCCTTTCTCTGCGCCATTGGACTTTGGGGACTCTTCCAAATCTCGACCCTGAGGAGGTTAACAGACGCAGATAACGTTTAAGGTTGGCTAGGTTGATTTATTGGAAACACAGATCAAGACAGAGATGAGCAGGGCAGAGGAGGGAGAAGAGAGTCTGGGGGCTCTGGCCATTGGTCCCATGGCAGCTCAGGTTCAGGTCCTGGTAGGGGTCCTCCCTGCCCTTGAGCCCCCTTCCTGCAGGCGTCAAGGAGACCTCTTTTGGGGGCAACCTTTCCCTGTGCGGGGCAGCAGAGTCAAGGAGGAGGGGATCACGCAGAAGAAGAGGCTGGAAGTGGGAGGGATCCTTCGAAGCGTAGAAGTAGCTGAACTCTTGTTCTGGGAGCCAGGGATGGGCCGGCTGAGATGCTGGGCCAGAAAGGGCTGGAGATGGAGCACCTAGCATTTCCTGCAGCTGCCGGCGCAGGATCCCACGCCAAAGGAGCTGATGCCACAGGAGCCCACACCAGCTGTGCCCAGGCCGCACGAAGTGACAGAACCGCAGGGTGCGCACATGCCAGTGCTCACTGCCAGGTTCCCGCTGCAGGGGGCGCTGCAGGCGCTGCCGGTCACGGGCCGCGAGCCGGAGGTGCAGAGATCACCGCACACGACCCCGCCTCGGGAGCTGCTCACACCTGTGAACCCCGAAGGCAGAGTCAAAATTCTGGGGGGCAAGCCATTGTCCCTCCCTGATGGCTGTCCCTCCCCAAGCCCTGAGCTGTGCCAATTAAAACTTGGGGCTGGCAAGTGGCATGGTGGTTAAGGGCGCCGGACTCCCACATGGCCAACGACGGTTTGAGTCCTGGACCTGGTGGCTTGCTTTCTCACTTTCTCCCTCTCTGGTCAAATTAAAATAAATAAATAAAATTAAAGTAATTCTTAAAACAAAACAAAACAAAAACAAAAACTGAGGGGCATCTTTACTTGACAATTCTTGGTCCCGTAGGTCCCAAAGCTGTGGCCTTTTCCCGTGTGTCCTCAGTTCCTGCTGCTTTTGAGCCCCCTCTTTACATTTTGCTTTCAGCGAAACAAACCCCTCCTAGCAGACTCTGCCCTCCTTCACCGGGTCAGGGTAAATCGATTCACTGGGCCCCAAGTACTCACAGACATTCACAGCCCCAACACCTTCACACAGTCTGAGGACCAAGAAGAAACAGGCAGCGTTAGTACAGGGCTGGATTTACAGACAGAGATCCCCAAGGTTTGAGATGGGGTCCAAGATGGTCAAGGAATTAGAGCAGAGGATATGAGGGAGCACTCTGCCCTCTGCTAAACTCACCCCACCACCCCTAGACAGTGATAGAGGACAGATCCTCCCACCCTCCCAACCCCACCTCCCACTCCAGACACTGGACCATTGCCTAGCCCCAGGCAAAAGAACAGTGACTTGCTATGTGTTCCACAGCGAGACGTTGCATTTTCTTCACCATTTGGCACCAGGACATCATGGGTTTGATTCAATCACTCTGGCTCCTCTGCCTGAGCCTGTTCCCGTGAGGACACTTGGAGGGAGGTGAAGGTTGTGAGCTGGAGTGGAAAAGATGAGGAGATCAGCATTAGAGGGAAGGTGAGAGAATGAAATACAACAAGCAAGCAAGGCCCAGCTGGGCTGGCGAGATCAGGGTGAAGGACAGAGAAGAGTCAGTTGGCAGAGAAGAGACTCCATCAGGACTGGAGTTGCAGTTGACTTCTGAACTGGGAAGGGGTGGTGTGGGGGATGAAGCTGGTGTTTGGACCTCAGTTCTGGACTCTGATGGGTTTGCTTCTGAGCTGTGTGGTGTCACAGTATGGAGAGTGGTTAGAATAACTGCATACTCTGGAACTCCCCAGGGCTCCGTTCTGCTCAGAATTCCACCAGGGGTGGCTGGGAGATCTTACCTTTACCCTTTGATCTTACCCTTACTCTTTGTCCTGTCAGCCTACTTGCTTTTGGTCTCTCAATATTCTTAACTTTTTCTGTTATCCTGAGGGGTCAGGTGGGAACTTCCGTTTCTGCTACATTTCTGGGACTGAGGCCAGAAGTTTAGAGACCCCCACTGAAAATATATGTTCAGGGACTCACTTAGGCCTATGGTGGGCCTGAGCTTCTGCCTCCATGCACTGTGCCCTGACCTCCAACACACACACACACACACACACACACACACACACACACAGATCCTCAGAAGTGTTAGGTGAACACTTCCTTCCATGCATGAAGGTGCTCTAGGGCCCTGGTAGACATGGAGATTTCTCCTTGTACTTGCAATCTCTGCTCATAGCTGTAAGTGTCATAAGAGGCTAGCCACGGCCCAATTCTCTGGAGGGACTTGACTTTACAGTCCAAAAGAGAAAAATATTAATGATAAGTACATACAATGATTTTTTTGTGGCACACACTGTTTAAACAGTGTACGTATATAAAATAAATTCTTAAGAATCACCCTCATTTTAGAGATGTGGAAACAGGCTCTGAGAGTAAGCACCTTGTCCAAGGTCACTCAGTAAGGAAAGAACAGAGTCCAGTTTTGGGCCCAGGGAGTCTGGATCCAACTCTGTGCCACATCATCTTCTTGGCATGTGCTGTTTCTGTCTTTGAGTCCACAATGGTAGGTCTCCAGACCTCAAAGGGACTCCATTAAAAAGCAGAAAGCCAACTCAAACTTGAAACTTTAAATCATGGTCATGTATTCATCTCTTAGAGCATTCCAATAAACGACTCTAGCATGACTTCCCCACCAAAGCGATGAGTGATGTTTCCTTTCCTTTGACTGGTGAATGCAATTTTCATTATTCATCAGTTTACAGGTGTGCACCGGAAGTTTTCTGGGAGGCAGCTGTGGTTTAGTGAACTGAGTACTAGAGACACACGCAGAGTTCAAAGCCCAGCTGAATCACTGTGGAAGTGAGGCACTCTGACCCCGGTACTGGGAGTCTGCGCTCTGGTTTTTTCATTTGCAAGATGTACCATTAAGGTTGTATGGATAGAACCACATCTCATGGGGGCCTAGCAAGACCCTTGGCTGGATCTGAGACTGCTGTGAGCCAAGGGATGGAAAATTGCACTGGAGCCCCCAAGCCTGCGCCTTTCTCTGCGCCATTGGACTTTGGGGACTCTTCCAAATCTCGACCCTGAGGAGGTTAACAGACGCAGATAACGTTTAAGGTTGGCTAGGTTGATTTATTGGAAACACAGATCAAGACAGAGATGAGCAGGGCAGAGGAGGGAGAAGAGAGTCTGGGGGCTCTGGCCATTGGTCCCATGGCAGCTCAGGTTCAGGTCCTGGTAGGGGTCCTCCCTGCCCTTGAGCCCCCTTCCTGCAGGCGTCAAGGAGACCTCTTTTGGGGGCAACCTTTCCCTGTGCGGGGCAGCAGAGTCAAGGAGGAGGGGATCACGCAGAAGAAGAGGCTGGAAGTGGGAGGGATCCTTCGAAGCGTAGAAGTAGCTGAACTCTTGTTCTGGGAGCCAGGGATGGGCCGGCTGAGATGCTGGGCCAGAAAGGGCTGGAGATGGAGCACCTAGCATTTCCTGCAGCTGCCGGCGCAGGATCCCACGCCAAAGGAGCTGATGCCACAGGAGCCCACACCAGCTGTGCCCAGGCCGCACGAAGTGACAGAACCGCAGGGTGCGCACATGCCAGTGCTCACTGCCAGGTTCCCGCTGCAGGGGGCGCTGCAGGCGCTGCCGGTCACGGGCCGCGAGCCGGAGGTGCAGAGATCACCGCACCAGACCCCGCCTCGGGAGCTGCTCACACCTGTGAACCCCGAAGGCAGAGTCAAAATTCTGGGGGGCAAGCCATTGTCCCTCCCTGATGGCTGTCCCTCCCCAAGCCCTGAGCTGTGCCAATTAAAACTTGGGGCTGGCAAGTGGCATGGTGGTTAAGGGCGCCGGACTCCCACATGGCCAACGACGGTTTGAGTCCTGGACCTGGTGGCTTGCTTTCTCACTTTCTCCCTCTCTGGTCAAATTAAAATAAATAAATAAAATTAAAGTAATTCTTAAAACAAAACAAAACAAAAACAAAAACTGAGGGGCATCTTTACTTGACAATTCTTGGTCCCGTAGGTCCCAAAGCTGTGGCCTTTTCCCGTGTGTCCTCAGTTCCTGCTGCTTTTGAGCCCCCTCTTTACATTTTGCTTTCAGCGAAACAAACCCCTCCTAGCAGACTCTGCCCTCCTTCACCGGGTCAGGGTAAATCGATTCACTGGGCCCCAAGTACTCACAGACATTCACAGCCCCAACACCTTCACACAGTCTGAGGACCAAGAAGAAACAGGCAGCGTTAGTACAGGGCTGGATTTACAGACAGAGATCCCCAAGGTTTGAGATGGGGTCCAAGATGGTCAAGGAATTAGAGCAGAGGATATGAGGGAGCACTCTGCCCTCTGCTAAACTCACCCCACCACCCCTAGACAGTGATAGAGGACAGATCCTCCCACCCTCCCAACCCCACCTCCCACTCCAGACACTGGACCATTGCCTAGCCACAGGCAAAAAGGTGGGGGTTTTGCAGGGATGGGACTGCCAGCCCTGGGCCAGGTTGGGTTGGGCCTCACCTCTGCTCCTCGCCCTCCAGCAGGCGCCTGTAGGTGGCGATCTCGATGTCCAGGCCCAGCTTGGAGTTCATCACCTCCTGGTACTCCTTGAGCAGGCAGGCCATGTCCTGCTTGGCCTTCTGCAGGGCCTCCTCCAGACTGGCCAGCTTGCAGCGGGCGTCAGTGAGGGCTGCCTCGCCCTGCTGCTCAGACTGGGTAACCGCGGCCTCCAGCTTGGAGTTCTGGGGGCCCAGAAGAGAGCAAGGGTTAGTGTTCCTGGGCTACTCTGTCCATTAGAAGGGTATGTCCAGCCTCACCCACTCAGCTTGGAAGATACCAGAAGCAAAGCCTTTTAGCTTGGTCACCTGGATCTCCCTTAGGGACTATTTCATGAAACTCCATATATACAACTATGCTGAAGAGTGAATGCTGAGGTCCATGCGGGCCCCTCCACGGCTGTGTGACAGGGGTGGGATGCTAGGCTCTGGTCTCGAGCACAGATGACCCGTACCTGGCACTTGGCGTTCTCCACCTCGGCCGTCAGCCTCTGGATCATGCGGTTCCGCTCGTTGATCT